ACCAGACAGGGGCTAAGAGGACCAGGACAAAGCGGGTCCAGAGTTTCAGCAAGACCAGGAAAGGATGAGACCAGAAGTTCCAGTGTGCCAGTGAGGGGCCAGGACCAGTACAGTGGGAGCAAGCTGGTCCAATGACCCAGCAGATGTCATGAATAGAGTAATGGGACTAGAAGGGTCCAGCAGCTCAGTGAGGGGCTGAGAGTAGAAGCAGCCCAGTGACTAGCTGGGAATAGGATGGGACCAAAGAGTGGGTGGAAAAATGGGTCCAGGATGAGAGGCCAAAGGTAGGGTTACCATATGTCTGGGTTTTCCCAAAGATGTCCTCTTTTTTGGACTCCTGTGCCGTTTCTGGACAGGTTGTTAAAATAAGAGGAAATATTTTGGTTTTCTGTTCTCCCTGTCTGGCTGCTTGGGGCTGGGATCAGCGGGCAAAGTGATTGGCTGTTGGGGGTCATGTGCTCCCTTCACAGGGCTCTGGCATGCTCCTAGGTAAGAGAGGGAGAAAGAGAAAGAGAGTGTGTGGACATGTGCATATGCAATACAGGAGCTGCTTGGGCAACAGGGCTGGGGGGGCAGGGGCTGGGGGTTGGGAGTGGCTGAGAGAAAGACCGAGGGGCCTGGTAGCCCAGGAGGATTTTGTCTGAGACCAAGGGTGTGAGGGCCGAGAGAGGGGCTGGGTGAGAGACCGTGGAGTCTGGCAGCCCAGGAAGAGGCTGCATGGAGTGATCGAGAGGTCTGAGGTCCTGGAGTTGGGCTGAGGGATGGCGAGGGGTTGATATGCTCAGAGAGGGGCTGCATAAGTCATTGGTAGGACATCGGTGAGGATGCCATCTGCGAAGGTTGGGCGTGGTGTAGGGTGGAACGGAGCCATGCGATTGGCTCCCTAGAGCCTTGACCGCAAATATGGTGGTCACTTCAGTAAGACCAGGGCAGCCTCCTGTACTCTTCAGAACAAGTAACATCATCACCTGACAGCCCAGGAGACCCTGTAATTGCAGCCTGTGCCCTGCTGACCTGGGCCCTGCTCAGCCAAGGGCTGAGGGCAGCTGCCTGCCCCATGCTTTGCTGCTGCTGCTGGGATCTCGCTCCCCAGGAAAGCAAAGCCCATCAGAGCCAAGCCAGCTGGAACTCCCTGTGGCTGAAGTCATCGGAGGCTCTTGCTGTCTTGATCTCCCAGATGCTCTTGGCCTCACCATATCTCCGTCCACCCTCACCAGACCTGTCTGTGGCATTAAGGGCAGGGCTGTGGCCCCACATCTGTCATTCCTTGGCCACCCTGATTTGTGGTCAAGGCCACTTCTGCTTCTGGCTGATGCTTCCCTGCTGCTGGGATGTGCAGTGCCAGCCCCAAAGGCACAGGATCTGCTCCAGAAGCCCCATAGCTGGGATGGGTGAGAGCATGATTTCTGCTGAGCTGCAGTTTTCCAAGGCCCCCCTAGGATAGAGCATGACCCCCCAGGCACGGGGGTTAGATAGAAGCCAGAAGTTACCTGGTCTTGCTCCAGCCCCACACCCTGACCAGCCCCTGTGTCTGCATCCCCTCAGCCCCGGGTGAGGCTGACAGAACCTATGAGACCCTGCAGCTAGACAAGGGATCAGCCGAAGGAACCTACGACACCCTCCAGCTGGGCCAAGGATCGGTCAGACATGGGGCCCAGGAGCACAGAGGTGAGTGCAAGGGCAATTCCTACCCTGCCCGGGGCTCCCCAGAAGGGATGCAGAGAGCTCCCAGGGGTGCACAGCTGGCTTGGGTATGCAACAGGACTGCAGGGGCCAAGATCAGAGGATGGAGGGGGCAGGGGATGGAGGGGCTGTCCTGCCCCAGGGCTGAGGGGTGGACTTTGCTTGCTGTGCTCAGGCTGCAGGGCAGAGCAGGGTGTATGGCTGCCCCAGGCTCTGGGGCTTTGCTGGTGGCCACAGGGGCCAGGAAGGAGTGCCGGTGGCTGCAGGAGTCAGGGTTTCCTTTGCTGCCTTCAGAGGTGCTGGGTGCCAGATGCAGAGTGGTGCTGCGCTGTGTGTCTGCGTGCAGGCAGGGCTGGAGGCACCTTGCACACTCATGTGTTCAGACACACTCATGCACTTGTTCATAGACTCCAGCTTCCTGTGTGTGATGCTGCCACCTTCCCTGCAGTCCAGGTTGAGACTTGGGATGGGGATACGCCAGTGTTCCTGCTGGGACCAGCCTGCCCTCGCCCTCAAGACAAATCTGGGGGAACACAGTCCTCGTGCCCTCCTGGGCTGCATGCAGTGGTGGGAGCCCCTGCCCCGTGTGCTTCCCAGATGAGCTGCTCGTGGCTCCATTCCACGCTTCACCCTGGCTGTGCAGCTCCTGCCCCTGCCCCTGCCCCTGCCCCACTCCCTCCCTCACCGCGGGGGCCTTGACCTGCCCCCTTGCAATGCTTTCCCTCACATCAGATTAGCAGGACACCTGGGTTCTGCACGGGTCTCTGCCAGGGGAATGTGTGTTTTTACATGTGTTTGTGTCTTGGCCAATGCATCTGTGTATGCAGGTGTTGCCTGCCTGGGGTGTGTGTGTCTGTCTGTAGGGCTGGTGTGTCTGCACTTGTGAGTGTAGCTGGTGTGGGTGTATATGGGGTCCCTGGATGTGTCTGTGGGGCTGGCGTGAGCCTGCCTGTCTGTAGGGTGGGTGAGTCTTTTCTTGAGCTCTGTGTATATGTGTGTATGCATGTAGCTGTGATCTGAAGGCATGTGATATGATAGCTCAGCTGGTAGGGCATTGGGTAAGATCTGTTTAGGTAGCTGGTTCAAGTCTGGCTTGAAGAAATGCCTCCTTTGTATGCTTAGGGCCAGGAATGATCTAGTTAGGAAACTTTTGGAGGGGCTGGATGTGTATAAATCAGCAGGTCCAGCTGTTCTTCACCTGAGGGTACTGAGGGAATTGGTGGCGGTCATAGCAGGGCCACTGGCACAGTTGTATGAGCACTCATGGTGCTCTGGCCAGGTCCCAGAGGACTGGAAAAGGGGCAGTGTGGTCCTCATTTACAAGAAAGGGAGAAAGGAGGACCCGGGTAACTATAGGCCAGTTAGTCTGACCTTGGTCCTTGGGAAGACCTTTGATAAAATTATCAAGGAGCACATCTGTGGGGGCCCAGCAAGGGAGGTAATGCTCAGGGGCAACCAACATGGGTTCATTGCGGGCAGGTCCTGCCTGACTAACCGTGTTTCCTTTTACAACCAGTTTACAAAGTCCTTGGATGTGGGTGTTGAGGTGGATGTCATCTACCTGGACTTCAAGAAGACCTTTGAAACTGTTTTTCACCCCATTCTCATTTAAAAAAACCTAGGCAACTGTGGCATTGTTGCCTACACAGTCAGATGGGTGGCAAACTGGCTGGATGGTCACACCCAGAGAGTGGTGTTGGATGGGTCATTTTCAGCCTGGACGAACGTGGGCAGTGGGGTCCCCCAGGACTCGGTCCTCAGGCCTGTGCTATTCAACATCTTTATCAGTGACTTGGAGGTGGGCATGGAAAGCACGCTGTCCAAATTCACTGATGACACCAGGTTGTGGGACAAGGTGGGCACACTGGAGGAGAGGGACAGAATTCAGCTAGATCCAGACAGGTTACAGAGGTGGGCGGATGAGAATAGGATGGAGTTCAACGCAGACAAGTGCGAAGTGCGGCATCTAGGGAGATGGAACCAGCAACACGCCTATAGGCTGGGAACACCCTTCTTGTCAACACGGCGGCAGAAAGGAATCTGGAGTCATTGCGACTCCAGGATGAACATGGGCCGCCAATGTGAGGAAGCGATCAGTAAGGCTAACGGCACCTTGTCGTGCATCCCCAGATGCATTACAACAAGGTCCAGGGAGGTGATCCTCCCCTTCTATGGGACACTGGTCAGGCTGCAGTTGGAGTACTGCGTCCAGTTCTGGGTGCCGCACTTCAGGAGGGATGTGGACAGCATGGAGAGTGTTCAGAGGAGGGCCACTTGCATGGGCCAGGGGGCAGCAGGGCAGGCCCTACGAGGAGAGGCTCTGGAATGGACTCCCGAGGGAGGTGGTGCTCTCCTGCCTTGGGGGGTCTTCAAGAGTAGGTTGGATAGATATCTGGATGGGGTATTATGATCCCAGCACTCATTCCTGCCCAGGGCAAGGTGTCAGACTTGAACTATTCAGGTCCCTTCATCTATTCAGGTCCCTTCTGACCCTAAAAACTATGAAACTATGAAACTATGATCTCTCTCAAGCCAAGCTGGACCAGAGCCAGGTGTGGTGAACAGAAAACTCCCAGAATAGGGAGGCTCTGTGCTCTGGTCCTCCCACAAGGATGGGGGAAGCCCAGGGCTGGTCCCAGAACAACATCTGGAGGGGGAGGACCCACTGCCTCAAGCCAGCGCAGAAAGTGTGCTGGGTGGGTAAGATGGAGCCTGGGAGCTAGGACTCCTGGGTTCTCTTCCCACTTTGGGGATAAGTGCAGTCTGGGGGGTTAAAATTATGGGGCTGAAAGCCTGGATACCTGGGCTCTCTCCCAGCTCTGGGAAGGCAGTGGAGTCTGACCTATAAAGCACAGATACACCCCATATGCTGTGTGGTTATAACCACCACCCCAGTATGCACACATGCATACTCTCTGGCTGGGCAGCCTGGTAGTACAACAGGATGCCTGGGTCCCAAAATCTGTGTGCCTCTCCACTGGGCCTGGGGTCAGGGGAGGCGGGTTCTGTACATCTCCCTCTCCCCAGCCAGGCCTGGGGCAGGGAAACAGTGTGGTGGGTGGGAGTGGGGCTCGGAATGAGTGAGAACCAGCACCCAGCTGTGTGTGCAATGGTGCTACTCCCTGCTGTGTGTATGTGTGTGTATCCCACTGCCTTCTATCCTGTGCATGCCCCCTGTGTGCATGTGTCCCACTACCCTCTAAGCCCGTTTATCCCCCAGTTGTGTGTGTGTGTGTGTGTGTGTGTTTGTAAACCCTGCTCCATGCATACATGTGCCTGTGACTAAACCCTCCACAGCCCACTTGCACAGGTTCCCCATGAACCCCCTGTCCTGTGCCCACCTCACTCCTCCCATCTGCCCCCCAGGTGAACCAGCCATGCCAGTGCAGTGCTCCAGCTCAGTGGGAAACACCCAGGCACTGACATGTCCAATGGGCATCGTGCGCCAGCTGGAGGCCCTCTTCACCTGTGTCACCTTCAGCCTGGTGGCCAGCCGTGGGGACCAGTGGGCTGGCACCAGCAAGTGGTGCATGTTTTCATGGTGCTTCTGCTTTGCCGTGACACTTGTGGGGCTTCTGGTGGAGTCTGTGGGGCTCCAGCACCGCATGCCCATCTCCTGGAAGAACTTCCACATCACCTTCGCCATGTATGCCGCCCTCTTCACCCTCTCGGCTTCTGTCATCTATCCTTTCACCAACATCAAAGCCCAACAGTACTGCTGGAAGCAGGACTACCATATTGCTGCCACTTTCTTCTCGTGCCTCGCCTGCATGGCCTACTCCGTGGAGGTCACCATGATCCACACCACACCGGGCAAGGTTACTGGCTACATGGCCACCATGCCTGGGATGCTCAAGGTGGTGGAGACCTTCATTGCCTGCATCATCTTTGTCTTCATCAGCAACCCAATTGTTTATGATCGGCATGAGGCCTTGAAGTGGTGCCTGGCCGTGTACTGTATCTGCTTCATCTTTTCGCTGGTTGTCTTCGTGCTGTGCGTCAGGGAGTGCACTGGCTGGCTGCCTTGTGCCTCCAACAAGATCCTGATAGGATGCACGCTCCTGGCTGTGCTCCTCTACTCCACTGCCACCATCCTCTGGCCCCTCTACAACTTTGACAGCAGGCCCAGATACTGCCAGGGTCACAACTTCTGCACCAGGGACAAGTCATTGGCCATCACTGTGCTTACTGTCATCAACCTGGTGGTTTACCTGGCTGACCTGGTCTACTCTGTCTCATCTTCATTCAAGCCTAGGTGCTTGCACTGCTTGGGGGAAAGGACAGGGACAGGGCTATGGGGCCTGGCACCTGCTACTTGCTAAGTGGGTCCCAACCTGGGCTTCCTGCTGTCTCCAGCCCCTTCCCCGCTCCTCTCAGGGACTTGTCCTCTCTCACTTTCCTTCTTTTCTCTTTGCCTTATTAATTCTTTTTTCTGTGTTCATTTTCCTTCCTTTCTTATCTGTGCTTTCCTTCATTCATTCTTTCTCTCCTTCATTCTCTCTTTCCCCTTCCCCTCTCTCTCCTCCTTCCCATCCTTCCCCATTTTCACAGCTAATTACTTTGTTTGCCCCCCCTGCTCATCACTTCATGGCACTGTTGGGACAAGCACACCACTGGGGCACTGGCAGGACTTTAGGGGGTGCCCACTCAGGTGACCACCAAGGTCCCAACAGGAGAAAAAATCCTCATTCCCTCTCCCCAAACTGCTTCTCAGCCCCAGCCAGAAGCTCTTGTCTGCAATTCTTGTCTGGCCTCAGTCCTTTGTAAACATACAAAACAGTAGTCTATCCAAGTCACCCTACCCACCTATGGCTGCCTATAAGTTCATCACGAGGGCACAGAAGGGAATTGGTGAGGCTTTACTCACCAAGGCGCCCCCGGGGGTTACAAGAAATAATGGCCACAAGCTAGCAGAGAGCAGATTTAGACTGGACATTAGGAAGAACTTCTTCACAGTTCGAGTGGCCAAGGTCTGGAACGGGCTCCCAAGGGAGGTGGTGCTCTCCCCTACCCTGGGGGTCTTCAAGAGGAGGTTAGATAGGCATCTAGCTGGGGTCATCTAGACCCAGCCCTCTTTCCTGCCTATGCAGGGGGTCGGACTCGATGATCTACTGAGGTCCCTTCCGACCCTAGCATCTATGAATCTATGAATGTAATCAGTCACTGTCCTGATTGACAGTATTGTTCTTCGGCCTGGGTTGTTGCATTGCATGTTGATGGGCGAGGAATAGCTGGGAGGGGAAATGACATTCAGCAGTTAGCCCGTTCCCAAATCTCAACTAAAAATCAGTGGGTTTTAAGACTTGAAAAGTACTGCACAATCAGGAAACCTACCAGTGTCCGGCACTCTGACTCTCGGTCTTTGTCCTGAAACACCGGGTGGTGGTCGGAGGATTCCAGCCGGTGCAGTGCTGGGAAGAGGTGGGGACACGGGGTGTGGGACCATGTACACAGTGGTAGTATGGACTAGATCCACTGTGGGTGGCATTAGCGCTAGCACTCTTTGAGTGGGTACGGGTGGAGGAATGGGTGCCCATGCCTGAGGCAGTGGTGATGCATTTTGTTCATGAGATGGCTTGGGCGCATGAGGCTTTGGGGGCGGTTTGGCCAAATTGTCCACCCCGCTGTCCTACCTGTGTTGAAAGCCATGGAATAGATCTTTGGTTCTGTGGCTTGGCTGGTGTTTGTTTAGTTTTGGTGTTTTATGCTGTTAGTATGTGTGCTTTATGGTAATTTATGTAGGGTGTGCTCCCCTGCCTTTCTCAATGGGTAATGGCCGGTCATCAGTGACCATTCATTAGAGTCCTCTGAGGTGAGAAATGGCCTGAGCCAAAGGCATGAAAGGTACATGGAATATTTCATGAGAAGGCCCCACAGTGCTATCACCACTAACACCCACGCTTGTGATACCAACTAAAGGGTGTGGTACAAATACGATTAGAGGTCAGACATAATGATTGAATTTAGACATAGTGCTTTCTTTGCAAAATGCTTCTGTATTCGACATGGCTTGCAAATGGCTTCCGCATTAGCTTCTGCACACAAATTAAAAACATAAGATAAAAGACCCCCCTGTTAAAAAGTGCTATAACATAACCCATAATAAGTTAAGCATAGCATGAAAACCTAAAACATCCTGTGGAAATCTAGACATAACCATGGAAACGTTGACGTCTTGCGGAAACTTAGACGAAACAGTAGAAGCTTGTAGACGCTGTAGGATAGCCAATAACTGCATAACACGATACGGTTCTTTGTTTAGATAAGCTATAAAAAGACCCTCGGACAAAGACCGGGGGTCGACTCTGCTTTGGGCTACTAGCCCTCTAGTCGATCTTGTTTGTGCAGACAATAAACTTGAAATGGACCCAGCCTGAGTGTGTGACTCTCTCCTTGAGGTCAATCGAAAAAGCCTCCGGGGGCACGAAACTAGCCGTTTGGGCAACAAGGGTCCCTTCCTGGTTCCCCCACCCAGCCTGAGATTACATGTTCCCACAGTTATTGTAAGGGTCTGTGAACCTGCACCCTCTGCAGCAAGGGGATTACAACCCAGGGTCTTTCCTCTACCCAGTGTGGGTGTCTTGGGCTTCCCTTGGGCTTCCCAGCCCCCCACACCATGCTTTTCTCTCCTCTTTGTACCTTGTTGCTCCCCTGGCCACCCACACAGTCCCCCAAGACATGGGAGGCACGGTATGGGGTCCCTACAAGTTCCCCCTGTCATGCAGCCTGGCTTTCTCTGGCCAGGCTGATTGCTGCAAGCATACAAAGACACTTCATCCAGCAGCCAACAATTTATTTTAGTCTTTGAATTTGGGGCTCCACTGCCCAGCCCAACAGTTCCCTGAGTGATGCAAGGCACAGGTAGACACCCCAAGGGATGCACCTTGCCATGGCTGGCTACCAAACCATTTGCAAGCCAGTCGTTCATGTTTCCACACAGAAAGACCCTACCTTTGTCCGCCTGGTCCCTGAGGTCCCCCTAGCATCCAGCCCGGGTTTCTCTGGGAAGCATCCACCCATGGGCTGGCCACCAAACCATTGACAAGCTTGTTCCTTTGGTGTTTCCCCCTCCACCTTTTTGACAGCACTGTCCCTGCATGGCCATGCATACTTTGCCACCCCTTAGCTTTGGCCGGGCCTAGCCAAGGGGTGTTGCACCCTAGGGGCTTCACGCCTTGTCTGTAATCTCTGCTTGGGTGCTAGTTTCAGGGTGTCCCCGGTGTTCCCCCAGTCAGTTTGCATTGGCATAATACCTACCCATGACACTGAGCCCCAAGGAGTCTTATTCTCTCCCCCGCACCTCCCCCCTCCCACACACACTGCTAGGCTGCCGACTCATAGCCCGCCATGCATGCTGTACTAAATATGTGTGTGTGGCAGAAAGCCACCTTTGTTTCTCCCCCAAAAACTCTGCTATGTGACAATTGTGATTAGGATGGGCCCAGCAGAGGATACACACCTTTACCTTATCTCTTTGGGTAACCTGAGCTGGATACATTCCTGACAGGTGGGGGGTGGGAACCTGCTACCTCTGGCTATGTGACTGGCATCCCATACCTGGGTGAGAGGCTTCCTTCCTGGTGGGCTAGAGTCTGCCCGGCAACTAGTGATGGTTAGCTGACAGCCAACAGGTGCTGACCTCCATTGTACCAGGTAAATTAGGTCACAAGGGCTATATAAGTTAAGGACTGCCAGAAGGAGGGGAGCAGCAGCCATGAGGGTTACCCAGGAGCAAAGAAGAGCTGGACCGTCTGAAACTTGCCCTATCTCTCAAAACTCATGATCAAGGAACGGCTTGCTTCCAGAGGAAATCTCCAACAGCCTCTGGATGGTACTTGAGTAACATAACTGAGATCCAACTAGATATACAGCTTGCAGTAACTCAGATGCAAGATCAAAGGCTACCCAGCCGCAGGAGTTTGCTCTATGGGATTTCTCTGATATTGCTCTACCCTGTACCCTAGTCTAACCCTACCCTCTGTGACCAATAAAGTTCTCCTTTGTACCTAGTGTGGGAGACTTATTGAGGGGTGGGTTTAATTATGCCCAGGAGGCCCCTTGGGTCTGCAGACTAAGGGAGACTATCCTTTTTGGCCCCTGACTTGGGGAAGTGCCCCAAGTTCTTGTAGTGGACCTGTTGTAGTGGGTATGGGGAAGGTTGAGATACACCCCAGAGCTAGGTGCAATGGTCACATATAACATTTTATCACAGCCCTCACCATACACTGTTATATGTGGCCATTACACTCCAGAGCTGGGCACACTTGGGTCAGTCCTGGGTCAACACAGCTATGTCTGGAGAGGTGAGGAGACAGTACCATGGTCTGCTACTATGTTTGGTGTGAACTGTCCTGGCAATGAGGGAACTGCCTGGGTGACCAGTGGGGTCACCCTAAAACCAGCACCCCAGCAAGCTGACAGATGAGGTGTGAAGCCCCTGATGCTCACCCCAGTTGGAAAGCCCAACAGGTTGTGTGGTGGCAAAGGGTGGCAAAGGGTGCAGGGACAGCACTGGCATGGGCAGCTTCCCTGTCACCCAGCAATGTTGGTGACCCTATTAATCCCCAAAGTCTGTGAAGGAGCAAGAGTGCCTAGCTTGGAAACAGGCACTTTCAAAATGGGAGGGGGAGGCAGAAAAGACTGCAGATAGACCAGGCTTTTCAACGGTCCGGTGACCTGCCAGGGCAGGGTGCACCTTTCAAGGTACCTACCTTTGCCTTCCATCACTCGGGGAACTGTTAGGGAAACATGAAAGTCTGGCTTGGAGGGGACTCCAGGGACCCTTGAATTCCCAGCTCATTAAAGAATGTGCAGTGCTATTCGCAGCCCACTGTCAGGTGTCTGGGGTACAGAAAAGCATTGCTGAGGGGTAACAAAGCATTTTGGGATCCCATGGGGGCAGCTGGCCAAGCAGCCAGCATTGTAGGGACCCCGTGGGACAGTTTACATGGGTGAGGGAGAAAGATTGTCTAGCTCTGAGAGAAGTTGGGTTTTTTTGCTTGTTTGTTTTTTACTTTCGAAGAGTCACTTGGCAAAATGTTGGTGGTTGGGAAAGGCAAAAAAGACCTGACTTCAAGTGCTGCACTCCCACCTGGCCCAGCCCCATTGGTGGAGGGGCCCCGCTCCCACTGCAGGAGAGCAAAAGAATAAAGAAAGAAAGAAACCAATCACAAAATATATTCCTAAACTTCCCCCTGCTGTACTTTAGTAGTAGCAGGTCAGGAGGATAAAATTGTTATGACATGCCCTCTAGTGTCTTTTACTAGTAACAGCACAGTAACCAATTAGGAGTCTTAAAGGCATTACCTAATGGAGACGTAAC